TATGCAAAAACATAGATAGTAAAAGTCTAGGGAGCTTGAAAGTCAGCTTTAGGTATAATCACCTTTATTTCTCAACATGGCCTGTACTTTCATAGGCAAGCTTTCTTATACTTTCTTTAAGTAGTCTTCAGGAATAGTTCTCCAGGCTTCTTGTATTAAATTCAAAGCTCTTCTCTGGATGTTGGCTGCCTTTTGTTCTGTTCTCTGTTAAGATGAGCTCACGCTGCTTTAATAATGTTGAGGTCCAGCCTCTGGGGAGAAGCAGGGTAAGAAGCAGGGTACACCTTGGATGGGTCTCCAGTCCATTCACACTCACATTCACTAATTAAACTAATCCCACTGACTGCATGTCTTGAGACTGTGGGAAAAAGCCAGAGTACCCAAAGAGAACCCACGCACACATGTGGAGAACATGCCAGGTCAGTGGATTTAAACCCAGGACCTCGCTATGATGACTCAGTGCTAACCACCACACCACTGTTCTCCCATGTTCCATTGTGTGAGCGTGTGTGTTTTGCTTTCTGTCCCAGTTTGCTTTTACTGGACTGACAGAATGTTTGGAATCATTTTCATATTAATAAAAAAATATTATATTGGCTCTCAGATCCTTCCCAGACAGTTTTGCATGGTGGATCAAATTATTATTATTATTTTTGCATTCTGAATTCTATCAGCTTTGACATTTAGACTCAAACTGACAGTCTCCACTGTGGTTTACAGATGGCTGTAGATACTTTATATCCTATATATGACGACGATTTGAACCAGAAATGTCAAATTCAGATTCATCATTCCATAAGACCTGTTGCCGTCTCAGCCTTTTCCCCCTGTTTCCCTTCCTTAGCAGTTCCTTCTTCACATCCACCCTTTCACTGAGACCATTTCTGTTGAGGCTGAATCAAACAGCAAATGCAGAGGTGCAAGATGCACCTCTCACGTCCTGTGTCAGGACTGTGCTGGATCTTCTTCTCTTTCTTAAGTACATGACTTTCCGATACTGTTCATCTGCTGTGGGTAGTTTTCTTTTAGGCCTGCCACTTTTTTTTTGTCATTCACTTGTGCAGTTTCCTCATTTTAAGGAATTACATGGAAATCTGCCTGTGTGAAAGTAAAATATAAATAAATGAGGGATGGCTCGAGACTTTTTCGTGGTGCTGTACTTCAGTACAAATTCCTGTGATACTTAATTACATACGTACTTCAATTTCTAAAATATATGAGAGCTTTATGTGCTGACTTTTTATAGTAAGCTGTATCATAAAATTATTCATATGTGCAACCTGTTAAACAGATAAGCAGTGAAAAGAAAGTTCAAAAATGCAGCATTCACATATTAATACAAGAACACTAATGACTACCATAGACAGTCCCTCTCACAGGCTCCTTTCAACATAATGCGCTCGGCCACTTTTAGCACTTTCAGTAAATTTTATCGTATAAGTTCATTTAGGTCCACGTGTAAACGTTTGTAACACAGACATAATCGGCCTTCTCTCACGTGCAGCTGGTGACGCGGGGGCACCCTCTGCTGTCAGAGCAGCTCTACACAGCAGAAATGTCACCGCTCCGTTTCCTATTGGCTGCGTGCAGTCATGTGACCAAAACAGAGTCATGGCGGCCTCTGCTGCAGTCCGGTCGAGCATGGGACTCACTTTGAGGCTTTCTCGAGTTATCCCGGACTGTAGCACGTGTCCACTGTTCAGGTTAAAGTGTAATGCGAAGAATGTGGCTAATTTACAAAGGAGGGGGTCCTTTGATAGTCTCCGGACGATAAACCGACACTTACAGACGAGTATAGGTGAGTGATGCAGCCTGCTAGCATTTAGCCTAAAGCCGGTGGCTTTCCTGTCAGGACTGTTGGTTTACGATAAGTCTGAATAAGTGCCCATAAGTTTTCTTCTTGATGAAGTTTCAGTCATCGGCGATGCCAGCCAAGTTTGGTCAGTAAAATTAGCAGTAATCTGCCTGGAAAATCGGTTCAATAACACTTGCGTAACTTCGTTTCGGCAATCCCAGTTAGGGATGTAAAACTTCGGTGCAACAAGTAAATCAGTCCCATTATCAAAGTGAAGGAGCTGATGTCACCTTTGAATACTCTCACAGTAATGATGGCTGTGTTGCTCTTTCCCCAGGTCTTTACCACAGTGAGGAGGGGAGCTCCAATGCAGAGCACCCTGAGGATGTGTAAGTCAGCTGAGGCTTTTATTGTGAAACAACAGGGTACGGTGAACTGCACATAAATGGATACATCGTAATACTTTTAATAAGAATTGTTATCACAGCTACTTCTGTCAAAAACTAAAGCCGAAGTTAGACGTAAGTGTAAATGGAAAATTAAAACTCACAGCCAAGGCAGCGGCTGGATCCAGTTTAAAAGCACCCTAAACCATTAAAGAGTGCTTATGTGAGTTATTAATTTGAGAGCACATACTTAAAAATAAGCAGACCTCTTGTTGCATTTAAAGTTATTCTTATTTAAAAATAAATAAAATGCCAGATAAGATTAAAAAATAGACCTCTGATACTTAATAGATAAAATCATTTATAGATTTTCAGACTTCATTATTTATATATATTTTGTATTGTAAGTTGAGAATGGTGGAATAAACACTTAAATTATGGCCAAACACACATAAATGTCCGTTTCTTTGAAAAACAAATTTACTTTAAAAGCTCATGTAATCTTGAATGCATCACAGACATGAAATGTTGTATCACCTGTTTGTTTGTTTGTTGCTTTTAATAGTTTGATGTCTTCTGTTCAGTGTCAACGTGGTGTATATAGATCGGTCAGGCCAGAGGATCCCTGTGAAAGCTAAAGTGGGAGACAATGTCCTCTACCTGGCTCACAAGCATGGCATTGACCTGGAAGGTGAGGGTCGTTACAGATGAACTGTAGATGAACACCATTATCCTTGCACCATTGTCATTGAGATATTTGTGTCTTGTAATATTTAGGAGCCTGTGAGGCGTCTCTTGCTTGCTCAACATGTCATGTTTATGTGAGTGCTGCTCATTTTGACAAACTGCGAGAACCTGAAGAGAGGTAGGACTGCTACCAGTGCCATCTTATTTAACCATGTCACATTAAGTTTGACAAATCTATGTGATGCAGTTCGAAAGAAAATCATTATTACTGACACATATATCCGTTCATAGGGAGGATGACATGCTTGACATGGCACCGATGCTGCAGGAGAACTCCAGGCTAGGATGTCAGATCATTCTCACTCCGGAGCTTGATGGGATTGAACTCACCTTGCCCAAAGTCACCAGGAACTTCTACGTGGATGGCCATGTTCCCAAACCTCACTGACAAGTGAGATGGGGTGTTCAGAAAAATTGGAGTTTTTAGCTTTGCGCTAAGCACCATATGTACTGGTTGAGTTTGGGAGGGGGGTGCAACCATGAAGAAAAGCACGACAAGGATAGAAAAGTCCGTAGCAACTCCCAAGATGTCTTAACAACTGACTAATTCTACAGTTAACCACTGACAGGACAGTCCTAGGCAGAGTCAGACACTACATCTCACAGGTGATGTTACTTCGGGGGGAAAAAAACTTTAAAAAACGAAAAGATGTTTAACAAATCCTGTGTTTTTTTTGTTTTGTTTTGGGGGGTTTGTGGCGTCTTCTCAGGCCAGCTTTAAGACAATTCAATCAAACTGTTCTTTTTTTGGAAAAAAAGAGAGAACTGCAGGGGGAGACTTTATTTAACAGAGTTAAATCTTTTGTGCTGATTAATGGAACATTCCTTGTTACAGCTCAAATGCGCACAAGTGTCACAAGATTGTTATTGTTTTGGCTAGTCCATTATTATCAATATATGCATAGCATTTACTTTTGTATGCACCATGCTCATTTATACATTTTTGTGTCTATGATGTAGAAGTACATGCTCACTGCCATAATCATCCTATTCTGCAAGACAGAAAAAAGCCATAAACAGTCATGTTTGCCTGATTCTTAAACACGGGCTCCTAAGAAATCAAAGCAGAATTTATACTGTTGAAACTTATTTTGTATTTGCTCCAAACATTTCAGAAACATTCATGTGAATTGCATTTCAGATAAAGTGTTTTCTTTGCAACTATCAGTGATTAAGGCTTGATTAGAGAATCTGGTCCAGCTGGATCCACAGCAGGATGGTGGAAGTGGAAGCATGTCTGCTTGGAAGCTGGTGATCTTCATGTTACCATAGTTTAAGTTTACCACATCTACCTTTTACTCAAGTCTACTGTACTTGTCCAACTTACGCACAAGTGAATTGTGTATTTTATGTCTGATGAAATACAAATGTTTTAAGTTGTGCAATAAAATCAGTTTAAAAAGCTATTTTGAGTAGTGCACTCATTACCTGGGCCTTCCCAAAAAGGTCATTGTGCCCCCTCAGCTGAATTCGACTGATGAACAACTTGAAACACTTGAGTCACCCAGGTCATTGCTGCCCAAGCTGAAGTTAATTGGTTAACCAAAGCTCAGTGCTTCTGCAGCAGTTGCAGAAAATGGCATAACTGGGAAGGATAGTGAGGTTGGAGTGGTTGAGCCAAATCCAAGTCGGACTTCAGGAAGTATCCCTATGAATTTGGAGCTAAAAAGAACCAAAGTGCAAAAGAAAACCTCAACTCGCAACCGTCACGCATGTGGTGAATTTAAATGTGGCTCTTGCTTTTGTACACATTTTATTTTATAACCTCATGTGTGTGACTGCTAGTGCGAATGCACATCTGTGAAAGGTTTTAATATAGGTTGTTAAAAGTGAAATGACGACTTCAACCAGATAGCCCCCTGTCAAAGTTGGTTACCTGGTGATGACCTTAACTCTCTAGCCAGCAACCTTACAATAACAACTCAAAGGCCATGATACTGACCTTATCACTGACTCACCAACAGTTAAATAATCATTACTGGCTGCATGACTAGCTAACAGTCATTGCCGGGGAAAAGAAAAAGGGTTTTCCACTCGCGTATCCAGGCAAGTAGTAGCTACAAAATGAACAGGAGTTAGGAGTGTCAAAGCTTTTATACCCAGACAGGCTGTAATCTAGCAAACGGAAAACACCCGCGTACCTTCTTCTGGCCCCAGAATCTGATCCAGTCATAGCAACCAGCTTCAGTGGTTCGAGTTCCCCAGCAAATCGACACGCATAATTTTTTATTTGACAACGGATTGAAGATCACGGGTGAGCGTCGAGATTGGTACTCCACATGAATGTCAGGTAAAGTGGGCTGAACGCTTGTAGTTAGAGTTACACCACGAGTTTTAAACGTGTTCATCTCATGCCTCATGATAAAGACACTGTTAGCTAGAGGCCATCACAGGTCAAAAACATAGAAGACAAAGATCGATTATGGCAGGAGGTGAAGGTGATGCACGATTAAAGATAATGGTTCGGAATATGCAATCATTTAACTTGACGGGTGCTTACTGAGATCTGATACTGAGTTTACATGAAGTGAGTCATTGCCTACAGAGTTTATTTAAATATAATCACAATGCTAAATTATAGATCTGCTTGCATGCGCTGTAGAATTATGTATTTTTGATGAAACTTTTAGGCATTAGTTAATCCATGGCCTGTAAGAGGAAAAAAAGCAGTGATTTCAAAAGCATTCATGTTAACGCATTAACGTAATATTAGTGGGATTTGCTGCTGCGCTCGCGACGGCCCGACGACCGCGAAAAATTTAGGCTACTCGACGTTCTAGAAGGCAGGAAGTGCAACATTTGACGTTCCCAAACACGTTTAAACGCCACAGAAAATTTTGTTACAGTCTTTCCGGTGAGTTGAACTAGTTACATTTTTTTAAAAGTTGTTTTTTGATACAAAAACAAACATAGCATTAGCTTATCTGCTGTAACTGCATGCATATAATTGGCCGCATTAGCTCAGTTTTAGGATAGCCTTAGGTAGCATGCATGGACCATTCTGCAATGGCATGACATTTTCTGTTTCACCTATGTGCATTAATCCATGCACAAAATACCAAAACATACGTTTGCTGTGTAAATTTAAAAAAAATTTCTGCGACAAAATGTAATTTATAAAAAAAATTATTGATCCAAATATAACAGTTAAAATAGTGTTGCGCCTATCTTGTCTGGAAAAGGAAGAGAAAAACAGTTAGTGACAGTAAAGAAGATGTGATGAATGATTGACTCCGGTGCTAACACCAAAGGTAGACAAATGTCAGACCTCTTAATATAATTTTTACATTACATTTTTTTCTGACCAGATTTAATGTGTCGCTCTAATAAAACCCTGTTACCCAGTGTTACCAAAAGAACCTCCTTGACTTTGAGTCTTACAATTGACTCCTAGTATCTTTTTCTGAGCAGAATGTGTGTATAAAAAAAACAGCATTTCTGTGATCATGAGTATTTATGTCATTTGTATTACATAATGTATAAATAAAAGAAATAAATAATTATCTTGATAATTAATCTTGTGTAATATTATACGGTTACTGTATCATTTTTAATAACATGTTTATAAATTACTTTCTTAGCTCGCAAGAAATCTTTTTAATCTGTTTCCCTTGTAATAGACTTAATTATTATATGAATTGTGTATTTAAAAAAATATGTAAGAAAAATAAATAAATAAAAATAAAAATTTGAAATTAAATAGTGAAATTACTACAAAAAAAGTGTGACTATTGAAAAGCTGGGCAAGGTAGATTTCAACAGTTGTTTATTTGAAATTTATTGAGTATTTATTAATGGTCAATAATTTATTAAAAATAAATTGTTTTTCCTTAAATACGCAACAGAAAATTACATAGCGTCCAATTTAACCATTTTTGAACCCTAAATTGTCTTCCAGTTATATGACCCACATATTTAGGCCAAATGACACTATGCTATTATTTTACGTTATATAAAATATTTAGCTGCTTGCAGTCAACTTGTTGCTTGTGGACTATTGATAGAAACTAATATCTTTCAATGACCTGTGGTAGGAAGCATATTTGTCATGTCAGAGGTGTAAAGGGCTGAAGGTACAATATTTTGTAATAGAGAAAAGATGAAGACTAGAGGGAACATACAGGGAAAACATGCACAGATTTACCTCTGCTAGTCCTAAAGCTATTTGTTCCTATTCATGTTGCAGACTCTGCCTCAGTATGAGTACGAAATCAAGGATGCAAGCTGACTTTATCCAGGGAAACCAGAGCAAAGTGGAACACGATTCACCCCAGTCTGCACTCTTCTACCTTTTCCAAGAAGTTTCCAAGCTTGTATCCCCTATCCACAACAGTTTCCCAGACTCAGATCTACCCAGTGAATCACAGATTAAGACATATAGCCAGGATCCTTTAGTAATTAAAAAAGAAGAGGGTCCACATTCATTTGAAGCCTCTGCTAGTTCTGTCCAGGATACTTTAGAAATGAAAAAGGAAGGCGATGCACATTCATTTCATACCTGTAATGGTTCCTGCCACCATAGTTTGTCTTGTTCGCTGCCATGTAATGAGCTGGAAACGGTAAATGAGGAGTGTCAAAGCAGCAATGTCACAACTACATCACAGTGTGAACGCAATAGTCCCTGGAAAGTGCTGAGCTTGATCAACTTGCAGTGTGAAAAGCTGCTTCATTTGGAAAATCTTGAGGTGTTAGACCCAAGTTCAGCCTCATCTGCCACAAAATTAGGCTATTCAACAGTCACATTATCCACTGCAGCACCAGATGTTACAGAAGCTGCAATTGAAAGTGACACTCTAAGTGGTGAATGCATGTTAGGCCCATCTCCTCGTCTCTTTGAGAGACAAGAAATCACACCCTCTGTCAGTGCTGATGAAAAAGTGACAGGAAGACCCACAGGAGATGGATTTAAACTACAGTGCTGTGTGAAAGACTCCGAGATGGGTGTTCAGCTTGAAACTGCTGAGACAACAGACACTGACAGAGCAGACTTGCCAGGAGACAGTACAACAGCATCTCTGCATCCTCAACACAAGAACAAAACAGAAGTTAACTTCACTGTCAACACACAAATTGGGTGCAGCCAGGAGTGTGAGCAGGGTTGTTCTTCTAGCAAACAGGATATTTTAAATGCACCCTTTTTTGAATATGCTTTATCACAAGCACACAATGCATGTCTTAATACTAAGCTAACTTGTAATTCAGATGATGAGACTTGTACTACTCTATCAAAGCCAGTACTGTCACTAGATATTAATGCAAATCTTACTTTATCTGTGGAAGCCCAATGTGACGGCAGGCTGCCTCCTCTGAGCCCCATCCAACTTTGTTCACAATCACCATCACTTACATTCAGCGCTCCAGAGAATTCTCTCTTCGGTTCAAAACCAGATGAATGTGCAGATGCCCCCATAGATGGAGACACCCCTCCAACTGCACCATCCAAAGCAGAACTTTGGACAATGCAAAAGGAGGATCACGGTTCATCTTCGCACCAGTGGAGAACTAAGACTCCTAGAAAACAGCCTCGTCCCAGTCGTAGTGTTGATATTCAAGACCCAGACTTCCAGGGAGTGACATTCAGGATGGACACGGAGCTAGACGAAAGCAGGGAACAGTGTCGGCTTCTCATAACTTCACGATACAGGTAGACAAACACATCTTTGGTACACGCCATGCATTACAAAACGTGGTAGGAGCTTACATGAAATCCTCTCACATTATTGGTGTTTTATCCGTGTGTACCCACAACAGCAAGGAACTCTGCAGGAGTGTGAGAAAACCCAGGCTGAGGACACGGTCATCACAGAAATCATTTAAAACTAGCAGCTCAGACGAGGAGAACGGCCACACAACCAGTGTTTTAAGTGAGTATCCCCTAACTATGTCCTCAAGCAAGCTGCTCGTTTATTTTACTGTTTTTCCTGGATCATCTAACAGAAGATGCCGAGAAGAGTTTACAGAGTATTTTGCTTGTTTTAATTAGATTTTTCAATGTTAAAAATTAAGCTCAAAGTACAATTTTTTTTTAACAAAATTCAAAGGTAATTAAGTTTTTTTTAATATAATAATGTACATTAAATTAAAGACATTCTGAACAAGTGTAACAGGTCATGTTGGCATCTCAGTCTTAACACAGTTTGAGACTGGATTTGTAAAAAATTTATTTAGTTATCTAATACAGACAGACTGCATTTTTTCAACTTTAACTAAATTAATATGAGGAAGAAATTGATTTTTTTTTGTGCTTGCCAAAAGTGTGTCTTAGAAAATTTTGTCTTAGGAGACTTTATCCAGAATACAACACTAAACTAACCCCAGGTGGTGAAACACTCAGCAAAACATCCCAATATATTAATATTGGAAATAAAAATATATAACTTTTTGTAAGAACAAATAAAATATGTAAAATACAGTATATTAAGTAATTGTAATATTTTAATGTTTAATTAATTATGAGTTATAAATAAAAGTATCTGCAGCATTACAGTGTTATAGAAGTGCATGTGTGTGTGATACCCATAATCTCCACTAGAGGACACCACCACCTTAGAAATATGTAACTCAACAGGGTCAGACAGGTGTGACTGTTTCAAACAAGTTTAGGAAAGTTGTGGTTTAAATAACTTAATACCAGAACGTGAATGTCAGCTAAGACAAGAGAAAAATAAGCTCAACTTTAAATAAATGTACTTATCATCAGGTAAAGATCTGAGTGCTAACACTATTAAAAAATACTCTAAATAATTTTTCATCATTCATATCTTTAATTTCATTCAATTTCATTCATAATTTTTCAAATCTTTTCTTCTCCTATACAAAGATTCTTTACAAATCTATAACTATTTGACATTTGCTTATGTTTCATTTTTGGTAAAGTGGGAATGTCAGTGCGCTGTATTTCCAGCATTTAAAGACCAAAGAGCCAATCTTCTCGACAGATATGCAGCCTTGTTCCCATATATTGGTCAGTTAACAGAAAATGCAGTATAAATGTTCCAGTGAAGTTGTAGATTGTAGTTGTATTTTAAAAAAATATAAATGTCTTTCGCTCAATTGAGGTTATTGTCTGGAGTCAGTTATTGTTTAATAATTCAATAAAGTTTTTGAGGCGTAAAATTACAAATGTATCTTTAACCTCCTAAGACCTGAACTCTTTCATGGCATGCATTTTTAATTTCTCTTTGCTATTTGGGCTGATTGGGAGCTGATAAATGTAAAAATAAAGAATCATCTTTTTACCTGATGTAGTTTCCGAGAGGAGGATATCAGGACCTTGTAGAGCGAAATTTAGTATTGTGGTCTAGACAACCCAAAATGTGATGTCCACATATGTGGACACCAGGTCCTAGGAGGTTAAATGATTTTTGCAAATGTAGTCGCAATGTTTGGTTGCATTAAAACACTTCCTTAATTTAGATAAAAAAAAATATGCTTGGAAATAAGTGATTTAAGCACACTCAGTTCAGTTTTACTGCTATTTGCTTAATCTTTCATTTCTGTTTCACTAGAGGGTAAAGTTTGTGCATCATGCTGCACCAGGAAGACCCCCATGTGGAGAGATGCCGAGGATGGGACTCCACTGTGCAATGCCTGTGGGATAAGGTAGCTCGATATTCAATATTCAATGTCTTAAACACTGAAGCTGTGCATTAGGGCTGATCACAATAATCAGTTGGATTATTGTGATTTTTAACAGAGTCTAAAATTTTCTTTGAGTCCTCATTGATGATGTTGAATTATAGCTTAAAGGAATTAATATATTCTAACTTGTATTTTGTGGAAACCTGTTCCAAATCAGTTTGTGTTGATGTTTACTTTTTTTGCCAGCATTTTTCATCATGTTTTGAGCAGTCAGTTGCCACAACACTGTGCAGTTAAACAAGTTCAGGCCTCACAAACAACAGAAACGATCAACTTATTTTTTCCATTCTCACAAGAGTCTGACTGCACCTTACAGAAACTTTACTTCATGCATGACTTCCCAGACTAATGCATTAATCTCATGATTGCATGAAACGGTATGTTAGTACTCACTGGCTCATAATTTCTCTTTCAGAAATAAACACAGGTTAGCTTTGGAAATAAGGAGTAGTGCTGGGCTCAAAAGAATGTGCAGATAATCTACTTTGGAAAAGTATCAAATGTCCATGTTTGTAAAATACCTTGTAGTATTATTATAAATCAGTCATCTGCCTATGATAATTTGACTAAATAGCATTTATGCACCTGAGCATTAAAGGGCAAATAGTTGAACCACCACTGCATTTATTTTTCTCTTACTTTTGAAGGTATAAGAAGTACAGGGTGCGCTGTGTCAACTGCTGGCATATCCCTCGGAAAGAGGGCAACTCCAACTCGTGCTGCCTCAAGTGTGGAAACTTTGTGAGGCTGACCTCAGCTCAGCGGAAACACACCAACTAGGGAACTTGCACACAGCACAGGTTTTTATGCCCACATGTGACAGAGCTTTGCACAGACGCACACAACAGTTTGAAACAATACTCGCTGCTCTCGTAAATCTTTACAGTTCACTACAGATATGACTACCTCTTACCTGACTCAAGGTATTTAAATTCGTTTTACTGTTATAGCACTGTACCTCAGACAATAGTACACATTTACCTCTATGACTGTGTGCATCAAAAAAAGTAATAATAAAACAACTTGTAAAACATTTAAATTTGTATGGAGAAAAAAGTCTTTTCTCTACTGATCCTATTTCTGCTCCTTAATTTGTATTTAGCATGTGTGATGGAGCTTAGAAGGTTTGCTTTTTGTTTTTTGTTTTTTGTTTTTCACCAAGAGGGATATACTGAGGACGCACAGACTTTGTAGCAGAGCTGAGAATCCTTTATACAAATAAATGGGATACTGAAGGACCACTGTCAGAAAGTGACGCATTCAGTGGAAAGTTTAGTCGTGAAATTTTCCATCGAAATAGCTTCAGTGTCGCTTACATATAATGGTCAGTAGTACCCGACAGCTGTAATAGAAAGTTATTTCTGTACAGGCCCTGAGCTCAGTGCTGCTTTTCACTGTTATTAACTGTAAAACACTCCTACTGCTCCTAATCCTGACAGTGACAGTTCAGTTACTAAGTTCATCAGATACATTTAGTTGAACAAGTTAAATCAAGCTATTTATTTTGTTGTCTTTGTTGTTTTTTCTAATTGTGGTTGTAATAAGTGGTCACTTTTCTTTGGTATTTATTTGGGCCATTGTTTCTGAGCATTATTTTATTTGGCTTGTTAAATCGGTGTGTAGATTTCCTTAGTATTGCTGGTTTCTGTGAGATGGGGAAAAGGGGTTTGTTTGTGTGTGTTTGCATGGGTTTTTGTTTGTATTAAATTCATGAACAAACCTGTGTCTCCCCGTTCTTCATTTAAGAATTTATCTTAGTATTGCAGTGACTGTAAAATGATAAATTGGTTTCAAATGGGTGCACATATCAAATTAAAGTACAGTGAGAGGGAAGAAAGGTTCAGTAATGAGGCTTCCCACAGTTCCTTCAGCCCACCATGCACTACAGGCCTGCTGGCCAAGTGGGTGGCCTCGCACGGATTGATACAGTGCAGCTATTATTTCAAAATGGATTACGTCTTCTTGAGTTGGCTCTCTTGCCTGTGCTAAACCATCCAGCAAAGAGCAATACTGAAGGAAATGAGCGCTATGTAAGCCAAGGACATAAAAGAGAGCTCAAGCTCAATGAAATTCATATGCCTGCTCTTATTTTACATTACACATGCTCCAAAACGTCTCACCTGCTGCGGTCATTTAAACATCAGCTATAATCAATAATGAATGAATGTACACAAATCAAATTTTATGGTACTTGGCAGCCTGTCCAGCTTTGTACTTCTGATACTGGAGTGCAGTTCAAAGACGAGCCTTATGCATTTACTCAGTTACGTTTGCTTAAAGACCTCTGTGGAGATTTATTCATTTTAATTGTTGCTGAAACATTATGGGTACATAAAATAAGGCTAATTGTTCAATTAGCAGATAGTAGATAAAATGGCTAAGCCTGGCTCTCCAACCCTATTGTACAATGTTAAGGCCGAAATACTTTTTCTGTTTTGCTTTTGCAGTTTCACTTTAATTAGAAGGCATTGTTTTACTGCTTGATGTATACCATTCATCAAATCTAGCAAATGAAATGTATTAAGTCTTTTTTTTATAGTCGCAAAGTTCTGTACACAAAAAGGGTACAATAAATAAGAACACGAAGTGGCATAATAGCCAAGAAAAAGAACAACTTAATCGGTACACACGCAACGATTACTGAGTCAGAAAACTGTGTAGATCCCCAAAAAGTTTAATAAATAAATAATATGCATCATGGACGTGCAGTTTAAATGTACTTGAAAGCAACACACAACAGTAAAAAACAACATATAAAGAAGGAAGAAAAGAATAAAAATAAGACCTTTTTTTTTTTTTTTTTTTTAAACAAACAACTATAGTTAAAGCGTGTATACACTGGAGAAAATATGCACGAGTTAGTGTAATTAGTGTAACCACGCCTTCAGTATCATCATTTAATTTCTCTATCTTTGATTAAATAAAGTGTTTCCCACCACAGCTTCAGGTTTGTGGATACCTGCAGCTGTGTTAAAACAGACTGCGTGAGGAGGAGGGGGAAGTTCGGAGTGGGAGGCTCAAAAGTCAGGATGCAGTCAGATGCGCGACTTTTTTTGTGAATGAAAGGAAACGAGGGGGTCTCCACTTTCTGTCCTAGACAGGCACTGAATCTCGCCCGCTGGGGCCTACCGGACAGTCCGGATCATGACGCTGGACAACAAGCCCATGGATGAGGCGGACATTGAAGTGGGGGGCCAGGCGGACTGCAGAGAAGTTATGAGGAGGACAGATGTATCAGTGTTCGGGGAGAGTAATGTAGACTTGGAGCGACGGCCTTCATCCTTTTCTCCTGGCGTGCAGGGAGAGGACGACTTTGAAGTCCGACTGCAGGAGGGTCCCGGAAGGAGAATTACCTCGGTGAAGCCTCCGTACTCTTATATCGCTCTCATCACCATGGCCATCCTCCAAAGCCCCAAAAAGAGGCTCACTCTCAGTGAGATATGCGATTTTATCAGCCAGCGCTTTGTTTATTATCGGGAGAAGTTCCCTTCGTGGCAAAACTCAATCCGTCACAACTTGTCTTTGAATGACTGCTTTGTCAAAATGCCCCGGGAACCCGGGAACCCAGGCAAGGGGAATTACTGGACTCTGGATCCCATGTCGGCGGATATGTTTGAAAATGGGAGTTTTCTTCGTCGCAGGAAACGCTTTAAGCGGCAAAGTTTATATTTGGCACCGATGAAAGGCTCCAGGGCGCAGGAGCTCACTTTGATGCCCGTTTTTCCTCTCCTCGGAGTGCGCAGGGTGGTCTCTAGTCTCCAGAGTCCCGATTTGTACCGAGATCAGGATCTAGAAAGTGGTTTCGAGTCCCGGGTTATCCCCAACAGACCACCTGTAAGCAGCGTCACACCTGCGCTTTCCTCGATCCTCTCCAAAAATTTCCCTTCTTGTCAAAACTTGGAACATTTGGACGCCGGATGCTGCGCCGCTGTGCGATCTTTGCCTCCGACCTCCTGCCTCCTGCATCCCGTTTCACTCCACGGAATGATACCCAACTTCACTCTTTCGCAGCTGCCTGCTTTTCCCGACGGGATCTTTAAGATTTCGTCTAGTTTAATTTAATCTAATGATGTGCGCCTGAACTGAGACCGACAAGGCTACCAAATACTGAATCTGATTCCCTGAAGTAAATGCTTTCAACACGGATGTTTTTAAAATCTTTCAGTGTGTTTGGAATAAAATGGATCATTTTAATTTCGTGTGTGCACTTTTTATTACAATTATTTGTTACACCAGAATGTGTATAAGATTAAAAAGACCATATCAAACGAACCCGGTTCATATAAATGCATTCAGCTATGTTTTTAATTATTACTGCTTAATTTTAAATCTTTTTTACGACTGAATACAACTAAAGTCTAGACTTAAATGACAAATTTGCAGGATTTTAAATAAAATTGTGAAAACAACGAGAAATTAAAAAAAAAAAAAGTTTAATATTCTTAATTTTACTTGACGATGATAAATCATAAAGAGACTGTTTAGGCTTATACAAATATTAATGACAATATCCATCATTGTGTGGCAAATGGGCCATTTGATTTTGTATCATTTTAAGATAAAAGAATACGTATGTTTCAATAATTTAAATACACTGATTATTCTGAACACCTACAGTCTGCGCCTACAGCGTTCACAGTTCAACTATCGATCTATCTGAAGAACAGGATGATCAGTTCCCGGTGTTGTGTCGTGTATAGATTATTTTGTGGTGGGTGACTGGTTTGCTACCTTTAGAATGAAAGAACACAAGACATCTGGGCATGTACACGTGTTATCCTTCCCTTTTCTGTTTAGCTTTGGCCGGTTTGAGTGCATATATATTCGCTCACATCCTACTGCAAACCAGGCCTTCTTTATTAAAACCACGTCTTCATTTTTCAAAACACTTCTGTCAGGCGAGCTAATAGTCACGTTTTTGCTTTGTGGTGTACTCCAGCCTGTACACAGCAAGAATATTAGATTCACTCAATCATCGGGCTGCTGGGTATTATTACAAGTTATGCCTCGTCTTTATTTAGAAGTTCTCCGTGGTGTTTCATATGCAGAGATGAGTTGTGGAGGATGGCTGATTTCCCTGAAGAAAGATTCACACACACACACACACACACACACACACACACACACACACACACACACACACACACACACACACACACAGAGCAAAATAGGAACAATTATGATTAAAATGTGCAGAATTATCAAGATCAAAGGCCCTTTGGCACTTTCTTTCTAGAGAAATGCAGAAATATGTATAAACCATTTCATTATTGTAGGTCTGAGAGGAGTTAACCATTTAATTTGCAAATGTGCAACTCATCAAAAGAAAAGGCATGTTTGCGTGTATGCTGTGTTTGAAAAATGGTGGCATTGGTTCTTAAACTGACATATAAAACTGACATATAAAACTGACATATAAAAAGCACCATGCGTCAGTAAGAGATTAGAACAAATTTCCTCCATATCCTGCCAATATTAGTAATGCATATAGTCTCTATAAAGAGTGCATAAACCTAACCTCTACACTTTGAGGCTTGAAATATAAACTCTTTGTCCAAGGTTGGATTCTCACTTGACACGAGAATCATCTATTGTTCTATTTTTGTAATTGTACTCATGGTTGAACACTTTAATTCTAAAGGTGCACAGATAATTTACAGTATTTGTGAAATAAAATAATAGTTTTACAAATTTCAGGAGTTTTGCTCATGATTTTAAATTCTTGAAGATGAAAGAATGTGATCAACATGGACTGGACAAGTTGCTCTTCGGAACCATGTTTCTGAATCCATGACAGGTAATCTCTACTTAGAAGTTTGATGTTTCCATAAATGGTCTTTTACCGTGTTTTAACATCTGTCTTTAACTAAAATCACCCTCAGGGTACAGTCTGCTTTTCATACTCAGTTCTACTGAGTTTTATTCGGCTACAGCTGTGCAGCAAGTGGAAGACTTTATTGAAGGAGTGGAATTTAATGAGTCAACATTTTACTTATTTCAATTTACTATTTATTCATTCTTGAATATGATTAACCTTTCATCTCCTTTTCTCTTTTGTTTCTTGCAACAGGCTTTCGCTGAGGACAAAGAAAGTGATGTTAATATTTGCAGTAAAAATAAATGAATAATCATTTAGGCTCTTTGTGATGCTCCATAAATCCTCAGTTCTTTTTACCAGTAAGAGACAAAGTGGGTTTGGACATGAAATGTGATCACAGTAACAGCACGCGATGAGAGAACACCACAGAAATAGTCCTTGTTGTCCTGTTTTTGGCTGCTCTCCCTCAGTCACTCCTAACCCTGTTCAAGGAAGGATTGTTATGGCTCCATTTGTTTCACGTCTCCTTTCAAACTGCTGCACTTTCTCGATAAACAGCAGAGAGGATATTTCCAGCACTTTCAGAAGGATGACAGCAAATATCTGCACTGCTAAAGCTTCTGTGGCATCTTTCAATAAGTGGAAATTTAGTTTTCTT